TGTGTTGTAAATGCGTGTATACATGTAACTCGAACGCATACATACCCTGCGACGAATGTGCTAACCTCAGCTGCTGTGATGCTTTCAAGCATTCGGCATGGCTTGCCATCAAACATGTCAATGTACCAGTCAAAATTAACCGACAAAGCAGCCATTGCGATCAATGGGTGTCACTTTCCTTGGTATTGACGGTATTGCTGCTGCCCACAAGAAACTGCGCTTTTGCAGTTTCCAGCTTACACCTGCCTGCGTTGGCTGCGGGCCCGGGTCGAACACAAACCTTGCCAGGTGACAACATGTCGCTCATGCCGATGCCATGCCACCGTGTCTACGGAAGAGTGGCGCGCTGTATTGGATTGAAGGTGCCACAGGACAATTGAAACAGTATTGAAACATTAGCGGTCAAGCTCAAACTCGCCAAGGGGCGGCTCCAAGCCATACGTCACTGTCGGTGCATTTCGGGCAACCTCCTCATCATCGTCCCAGTTGCCGCCGCTCACGCCCATGGCAGCTTGCTCATGTTTGCTCCGATGGTACACAGCTCCCTCTGCGAAATGGTGTCGAAGGTTGGGCTATCAGGGCTATGCATCGAAATCTGGGAATGGCATGGTCTGTGTCACTCGATCTTGGTGCTCGAACCAGGCTTGCACTTGACTTCTGTTGAAACATTGGCACCTGCCTACGAAGTCGGAACGCCACCATCTCAAAATAATCGAGCTGCCTGGTTCAGAATAACACCAATCGACCTTCAAGAAATGTCACCAGGAACCTGTACGGCACCTACGGCTTGCGATCGTGGGGCACTGTACAAACGAGCCCTGATCTCAGGGGCCTGAAGACGGAAAGTCTCAAAAACCCTCGAAAAGCTGAGTTGGGCAGGTGCTGCATGGGCAATGACCTTTGTGCGTCATCTGTCGCAGAAAATGATTCCACCCCTCGTTGACGGACATGTGCAGACCTGTCTCATCCGCTCTGTCCTCACTTCATCGGTGGCGGAGCCCAGTATTTGGGCAACGCTACCCCGTATCCCGACACAACAGCAAGCCAAATACTGAGGGCAGGCAACCATGGAAGATAGTGGCACAAAATCTTGGTTGACAAGCTGCTTTGGCTTGTTCGGGAATCTTGGAATTTGGAGCCGCAACTTTGCTCCCCCTTTCACGGATCTGGCCGCGACGATCGCCGGGACATACCGACAACCAGACTGGACCTAGCCTCCCTAAGACCCATGGCCATAGCCCTGCAGGTGAGATCCCTGTTCACTGTGCTCTGCCTGCGGGCAATCTTGTTGCTCAGCTGTGTCATGGTGGCGATGGCCATGGGCACCGCCATGCTCATGATCATGACCGTGGCTGTGGTCATGACCTTCTTCCCGGGCAAGACAATTCCAAGGATCACTCCACGAGGACCAAGCATCTGGGCCCAGGGAAATTTCTGAATCTGTGAGCAGGCATTCCTGCAACGCGGCCGTGACAGCTTTTTCATCCATGCGGATGCCGATGCAGACTAGCTCCTGCTGGCGATCGCCAAACCGATCGTCCCACAAGGGCTTGATGTCCTCCTCTAGCCCTTGCGGCCATTCTTCGCGAGGAACAACAGCCCACCATGGGGCACCCAGATTCATTGTGAAGGTACAGCCCGCCAGCACAGCGGCCATCTGCACATCATTGTAACAAGCCAGCCAAGCAATCCCCTTCAAACGAACCAGGTCCTGAAGGGCACCGTTTCGTGCACAGGCAGCTTCCATCAAAGAGTGTAGCCGCCCAGGGTGGAATGGTCTTCTGGAGCGAAATATGAAAGAATTTATTCCATACTCTACAGATTCCGGGACATGCTCAGCATGCCTAGCTTCTGTGAGCCATTTTGGATTCGTTTCTGCATTTTGCATGTTGAACCTGGCCATCTGGAAGATGCTGGACGGAGCGAGCTTACTGAAAGATGTCTCGATGACTTCCGCCTTTTGGTTGATCTTGCCGATCAGCATGTGGATCATCGCCAGGTCAGGTGGCGACACGAGGTCGACCTTGTTGAGCACCACAACATCAGCAAATTCAACTTGGTCAAAGAGCAGGGCAGCAATGCCTCTCTCGTCATCGTCACCTTCCTGCCAATTGCGGTCACGCAGGGCCTCCGTGGAGGACATCTCTCTCAGAAACGTAGAGGAATCCACAACGGTCACCAGGTTCTGCAATTGAGCAAACTGCCCTAGGCTGACTCCATCATCACCTTCAAAAGTAAATGTCTCTGCCACAGGCAGCGGCTCAGAAATGCCTGAGGACTCGACGAGCGCGTAATCAAAATCCTCTGTAGACAAACTTCGCAAACCTGTCAGGAGATCCTCACGAAGTGTACAACAGATACAACCATTGGAGAGCTCAATCATCTTCTCATCTTGGTGAAGAAGTTTGGCACCCTGAAGCTGCATCGCATCAACATTTACAGATGCCATATCATTGACAATAACTGCGATCTTCATGCCTTCCCGATTTCCCAACAGATGGTGCAACAGCGTGGACTTTCCTGCACCAAGGAAGCCCGAAAGCACGGTGACCGGAAGCTTTCTAGATGGCAAAGTTGGTGGCGTCGGCTTCTCCTGTACCGCCATCGTCGAAGGGATTGTATTGTCATTCTTTCCATTTGGTGTGGGGAAGTCAATGTTCGCAGCCCACTCCTGCCCGAAGACCCCATCATACTCCTTGTGAATAATGCCGGCCTCCAAGGCATTGCTCAACACGATGGCAACAGCATGCAGTGCACGCACTTCATGAGGCCGGCCCTGCAGAGCTCGCAAAGCTCTTGGCCAAGTGTACCAGTCATAGGGGTCTTCGTGATCAGAGACATCCGCATCCTCTGGTGAGCCAGAGGGGGGATGGACAGCTCTGAAGCAAATCATCTTCACGCACCGATAACTTTTGTATAGTGGAAGAGGAGGAAGCGCAAGGATCTGCTCCACTTCCGAGCCTTCGACATCACACAGTTCCTCTATGCACCTGCGTGCCGTCTGGACTGTGTCTTCGTTCGGCTCTGCCTCGATGGTTGGGATTCGCATGCCTTGCCAGTTTCCTTCCAAACTGCGGACCAGCAAGCAGCGAGAGCCACGCAAGACCAACGCCGCGACCTCCGCACCGTCTGTTGCATCATCTGAGTGGACTGCCTCACCATGACCCTCTGGTTCCGGAGCTTGGAATTCCAGCGTTATGTCTTCTAATTCAGCCCTTGGCTGTTTGGACCTCGGGTCTAGCTCAATCGTTAAGTGGCAGACCCATAAGGATTCGCCAAGGTCATCCGTTTCGTCCGACTCACCGGGGCCAGGGCCTTTGCTTAGCGATGCCCGCAAAGAGAAAGACATTGCGGAAGAAGGCTCGGTACAGATGTGAGGCGTGACAGTCTTAAAAGCACCGTTCAGAACATCAAGTCTCCGCTGCTGAGCACTTTCGGAATCGAAAATGACATCGAGGTGCTCGGCATACTTCGTTTTGGGCGTCAGCGTAAAGTTTATGCATGAAGCTGGCAATCGAGGATGGACCAACACCAGCTTCTTGATGCTTCCAGGAAGGATGCGCGAACTGCTGAGCAACTTCAAGGCAAGCTGTGACGTGCCTTCACTCGCCACAAGCGTGGCCCCTTTCAAACAAAGCCTTTCGATTGCACGTGCTGCTTTCGTTGTTAATCCCTTGCCAAGTTTCTCGGCCGCGCCTTCATCATCCAGCACTTTGGCTACACTGTCTGTGGCAGAGCACGCAGGACTCAAGTCCACAACGACGACAGCACGTAAGATGAAGGCATGCCCACTTGCCCGAAACAGCTTTTCCATGTGAGGCAGCAGGGTTCTGCAGGCCATATGATTTTCATTGGCCGCCTGCGCCGCCTGTGGAGGCGCATTCTCCGGGAGGTGCAAGATGACTAGAATTTCACCGCTCTCTTGCGATGCTCCAACAACATGTTGTGATTTCGGGGGGCCGTAGCCCTTGCTGAACACAAAATACTGAGGTCGATCCCAAGTGGTTTTCTCGCTTGAAGCGACTCGGGCTTTCCGCGACATCTTCGTCGACTGCAGCACGCAGCCATGGCGTGTCACAGCTTGAGAACTGGAAGGCTGCTGGGAAGGCTGCTGGAAACAAAAAGGAACTGCATGCCCAGAACGCAGAAAAATGAGCAATGTAAAATTGGCGGTTGATGCATGAAATTATTCTTGTGAATGCCTGTCAGTTGCTGCGAGTCAACAAAATCTGAACGATACTCAGTATTGGTAGCTAAATTTGGGCCGCTCTGCTGGACGTCGCAAGTAGGTGTGGACGGCATGGCTGCCTAACAACAGACGCCTTGACGAGGGAGTCGAATCTTTGAAGCGCTGGCGTCAATCCGCGGGGCGGGCAGCAGCGGGCACAAATTGCAGTCGACTAGTGCCGTCCGATGCGAGCAAGAGCTGGCGTGGGATGCGGCCACCGAGCGAGCTGGCATCAAGGCGACCAACCCCCAACCACCTCACACTTGGCGAGGTTGAGGCGCAGGCCGATGGCAGCTCCCTGCTGCTCAACATCACGAAGAGCCTGCTGAACCGCCCCGACAGTCCCAGCAACGACAACCTCATCGAGGAAGAAGAGCGAGAGGTCCAGTGAGTCAGTGCGGAGGCGCGCAGCGAGCGGCTGAAAACGTGGCAGCAAACAGCAGTGGTCCTAGAGGATCCCCTTGTTGAACAGGCCGGCTTGGCAGAGGCCCCAAACTGCAACGAAGTTGCCCTACCAAGCAACCCATCTCGCAAGCCCGGTAAAGTGAGCGACAGTCTTTGACTATCGATGCGGTGCTGCATAGTGGCCAAACAGGGCCATCCACCTTGCGCCTGTAAACGCGCTCCCCGCCAAGGGGGGGGAAGGCCTGGAAAGTCAGCTTCCCCGAAACGTGTTCCTTGTGCCGGACAGGTTGGCAACCTGTCCACAGCTGCTTGGTGGGCTGGCGGCGCCAATATCGGCGCTGGGCCTCAAACAGGCGGGTGGTGTGGCCCGGTAAACGACGAAGTCGAGGCGCCGCATCACAGGCACAGGCAACCGCAGCCGCCGCCGCAGTGCTATGAGCATGCAATCGGGGGGGCAAAGCGGAGCCAGCCTCGTTTCGGGTGGCGCTGAGCCATGCGGCAGCATGCGGTCCTGAAAGCAGCATACCCTGGGCAGGGGGTTGCAGGGGTGTCGTGAAAGTGGGTAGAGCGTGAAATGGCCACCGGTCTTACTGCGGCCTACACCATTTCCCCCCCCGGCATTGCAGAGCAGCTCCGAAAACGTCATCGCCGTCTCCACGAAGGGCTCGAGATGGCAGGTACTAAATGCAACAAGCATCCTCCTTGAAGGGCAGTGCCCCAGAGCACGGAGGCTGGGAGAACAGAAAACCACCCAAGATTTCCTCCATTTTCCTTCAAATTTGTTTCGGTGTAGGGCTGAAATCTGCCGGTAATGTCGAACAAGTCTGCCTTCACACTCGGCTTGTGCACGCTGAGGACTTCGCACAGCTTCATGCCAGATTTCACGTAGGCAGCTTGGCTTTGGTCGGCGCTCAAGCGGGAAACTGCGCACAGCCATGGGCTTAGCTGCTTCAGGAAAAGAGCTTGGTGGGAGTACCAACTACAAGACACACAAAACAAACCCCCCTTTGTTTGCGCCGAGGAACAAGTCTCGGAGTATGTGTATACAAGCGGAGCGGTGGCATGGGAAACCAAACCCTTAACGACGATGGACTTGAGACCCTGAGAGGCCAAGTTGACAAAAGGGCCGTAGACGCCAAGTAGAGAGGTGTATTTGGCCTACATAGAGGAATTGGGGCGCCGGGAGGCCAAGATGGAGGGTGCAGCTGAGGACTTCTTAGCCTACACTGATGGACTTGGGGGCTTGGCGAAGCCTGGCTGAGAACCAAGCTTACTCTGCAGGACTCGGAGGGTGCTGTTGACTTGCGTTGATGGACCTGGGGCCATGGGAGGCCGAGACGAGTAATGCCGCTGCTGTGACAGCCAAAAGCCGCAAAAGCGGACGAGACCGCGACAGCCAAAAACCGCAGAAACGGACGAGACCGAGACAGCCAAAAACAGCAGAAGCGGACGAGACCGTGACAGAACACACGAGACCGTGACAGCCAAAAACCGTAGAAGCCAACGAGACCATGAATACCGCGACAGCTAAAAAACGTAAAAGCGGACGAGACCGTGACAGCCAAAAACCTAAAAGCGGACGAGATTGACACAGCCAAAAACCGTGGAAGCGGACGAGACCGACACCCAAAAACCGTAGAAAGGACGAGACCGCGACAGCCAAAAAACTGCAGAAGTGGACGAGACCGAGACAGCCAGAAACAGCAGAAGCGGACGAGACCGGGACAGCCAAAAGCCGCAGAAGCATGTAGAAGCGGACGAGACCGTGACAGCCAAGAACTGCAGAAGCGGACGAGACCGGGACAGCCAAAAACCGTAGAAGCGGACGAGACCGTGACAGCCAAAAGCCGTAGAAGCATGTAGAAGCGGACGAGACCGTGACAGCCAAGAACTGCAGAAGCGGACGAGACCGGGACAGCCAAAAACCGTAGAAGTGGACGAGACCGTGACAGCCAAAAACACTAAAACCAGACGAGACCGCGACAGCCAAAAACCGCAGAAGCGGACGAGACCGAGACAGCCAAAACCGTAGAAGCAGACGGGATCACGACAGCCAAAAACAGTAGAAGCGGACGAGACCGTGACAGCCAAAAACCGCAAAGGCGGACGAGACCGTGACAGCCCAAAACGTGGAAGCGGACAAGACCGTGTCAGTCAATAACAATAGAAGCGGACGAGACCGTGACAGCCAAAAACACTAAAACGGACGAGACCGTCACAGCCAAAACCCGTAGAAGCGGACTAGACTGTGACAGCTAAAAACCGTAAAAGGACGAGACCGTGACAGCCAAAAACAGCAGAAGCGCACGAGACCGAGACAGCCAAAAACCGAAGAAGCGGATGTCGGCGAGGGGGACGGGGACCTCTGCCGTCGGGAGGGCAAGCATCGTCCACCTTCTCCAAGCGACGCTGCAGACGGCACGTAGACGGCCTCTGCGGACGCCCCACCACCGGCTGGCCCAGCCTTGCGCGGCGGGAAGCGGACTGCGTGTGGCGCATGTGCAGCACCGGCGCCCCGCTAATCGGGCAGCTGCTTGCCGCGGGGGCGAAACCAAGGTGCAGCATAAAGCCTCGCCTTTGGGGATGCGCCATATATGACGAGGTCGAGCCTTCGGCGGTCGTCCGCTGCTACCCCAGGCGCCGTGGTTTTGGCGAGCCAGTTGCGGGACAACGCGTCCTTAGCAAGCAGGCCGGTGCGCGGGCGGGCATGGAGGGCAAGGCCGGCCTCTGCGCGCGGAGGGAAAGCAGCAAGCGGTCAAAGCCGTAGGCGAGCGCATGGCGGTCTGCGGTGGGTGCGTTCGCATGGCCCAGGCGCGTGGCGAGGCAGCGAGTCACGGCGGAGTCATGCGAGGCAGCATGCTCGGTTGTCGCGGCTGTGTCAGCGTCCCCCTGCAACACCGACAGCGCCCAGGCGGTTCCTCGCCTGCTGGGTTCCAAACATGTGTCTTGCGGCTGTTGAGTTCAACACGCGAATCACAATGTTCGTACGCTAGGAGCGCCGGGTGCTGCGCCAGCAAATACAGAGCTGGCATCAGCGGGCCTCCCTGTTCCCCACCCTCGCCCTGCGCGATGCCGTGGGAGGCCCTTTGCCCATCAACTTACCTGAATTCAAGAGGACCATTATTCCCCCCCCCAAGTCCCCCGGGGGGGGGGGGTATGCGGAAATAGGTCGCGGCCTATTCTGTCCTGTGCCTCATGTTAGGGAGGGGTTGGGGAGTCTCTTCGGCAGGCATAATGTTGCCAAAACGGAGTGCCCTTTCTTTTTCAAATTCACCCAGAGCCTCGGGCCCGGCTCGCTGGGGCTGCAGTTTTGGCACATGACATCAACACATCTTAAACAAAGAGGTCATGGAAGAGGTCATGGCGAGAGAGATAGAGAGAGGTACACCTGATACATGTTGCTCGCGGCCTATTTTCTGACCCCCCCCCCACTGTCTCCAGAATAGGCCGCCGGAACTACCCAAAATAGGCGGGGACCTAAGTACCCCCCCTCCCCAGATACCTATTGATAGGGGGGGGGAATGGACCATTAGAAGCTCTCATGCGATATGGGGTACGTTGCAGAGCTTGGAAGGCGACAGTCGCGTGCTGCAGGTGCGCAGCGACGTGCGCGCGTGAATGCGCCGGAGTGCATACGTCAGGGCTGCGGTGCACGCGCGGGTACGCGTACATGTGCGCTGCGGCGTGCGGACAGCTGTGCGTGCGACTGCGCGTGCGACTGCGCGTGCGCCTGTGCGGCAGTATCTGCGGAGGCGCGTGCGCGCACCCTGAGCACGCAAAAGGACGAAAGAAAAACAAACAACAAAAAGGCAGCAAATCTTTTTTTTTTCCACTCCTTTTTGCACCCGCTGTCCTGGGTTCAAGGGTCGGGCCTACCGTCAGGGCTCACCGTCCGGCTGCCCTGGGCGCTCGGCGAGCAACTCCCCCAGCGGCAGCTCCTGATCATCCCCCGCGTCGCACGACTGCACCGGCAGCTCGAGCAGCGTTTGCGCGTGTGCGCGCAGTGCCGCCAATGACGCGAGGCAATGCCACCGCCGGGTGAGCGCCCGGCCGGCCGCAGCCGCATTCCACGGCGCCCGCGCTCGTCCACGAGCCCGCGCCAGGCGGCGGATGAAGGCCAGGGCGTTCGGGCTGAACCGTCCTCCGACTTCCATGCCGAAGACGACCAACCGACAGCGCCC